AATAAGTGTAGTCTTTAATACACAGTCAAGTTTTTTTTTTTTTTTTTTTTAGATTAAATGTATACAAATTTCACCGCTTAAATTCATTATTCATTCCCGTGCTTAAATAGTAGATGAAAGTAATGTTTGTCATAACTTGAACAGATGACAAAAACGTTTCTGTCATATAACTTGAAAATAGTTATTAGTTTTCTAGTCTTTCATACACTGATTTAAATCATTTTGTAAACGTTTGATGTTACAGTTGAGCGAAGAAGGCGTTACAATATCAATGATCGTATAAAGGAATTGGGACTTATGCTTCCCAAAAGTTCATCCGAGTGAGCGTTTCGAAATTTGCAAAAGATTCCTTTTCTTGTCTATCATCTAATTTTTTTTTACTTTGATTTTTTTTTTTAACCTTTATAAGTTATACAAACGAGTTCTTTCCAAAGCATCATTTCGAGCTATTTTAATCTTTGAACCAATATTTCAAAGAAAATCTTTGAAATATTGGCTGTTTTTCAGAGAACTGAAGCTAAATAAAGGAACTATATTGAAAGCTTCGTGTGACTATATCCGGCAACTGCAAAAAGATCGTGAATTGATGTTGCGGCAACAGCAATACCAAGCAAGGTTGGAACAGGCAGCACGGATGTACGCTGAACGGGTTAAAGTTAGTAAATTTCGTTAATTTAATTAGTTCTGGTTAATACTGTATTTCACCATGTTTGGTAAATTTTATGAATTAGCTCTGAAAATTCCAAGCTACTTATTTATTAATTCTTTGTGTCTACCATACATTGAGGTAATCTTTCAATAGAAAAAATTTTCCAGTAGCTTTACTAGTTAAAAACTGGTAAAGCACTTATATTTTAGTTGTTAAGATTGATTTCGATTATATCTTACAATTAAGAAAAATTTAGAACCATGTATTTGACCGTTTCCTTATTCATATTTTTAGTGTTGTAAAATTTGTGTAAATTACAGGAGCTTGAAAATCATTTGCAAAAAAATGGCATTGCTATACCACCAGCTTCGGTAAGTTTGCCACCGATACCACTATCATCATTTTCAAGCGATGTACGATCAATAAAACAAGAGCCATTCGATGAAATTCCTCCTTCACCCTCTCATACGCCGTCTAATTGTATTGTTCGTATTTATATCATTGTTTATTTTCTTATAGCTAGAAGTAATGTTCTTAATAGCTTAGATGGATTTGCACATTGAAATATTTTAATCATTTTTACTGTTGATATAATAATCCTTGACGATGTAAAGTAAGCGAGAAAAAAAAAAAGCAAAGTTGATCGGGATATTTTTTTCACTTCCTGATTTGCTTTCAGAACTCTACTGGATTTGTGTCACAGTTAACTGATACAACAGCTGCCATTTCAATCAATAGTCCAGTATCCACTCTGAATAACCGTCAAGATGGTGGTTCATTTTTGAGGTATATTTTTAAATAAACGACTAATGACGTATCTCACTAAACTGGCTTTATATTGATAGTTTCAGTGCAACAGATAATCCATATTCTACAAATACCTTTACTCAGTCAAATACACCGTCACTGAATTCGCAACAACAGGGATTTCCAGATCTTATTATGGATGATCTGAATGCAATGCGTTCTATTTTACTAGGTTTTTTTTTTAATTCCAATTTATTTCTTTTTTTTTCTTGTTTTCTTTTCTTACTAAATATCGACTCCTAAAATGTTTGTCTGTTTCACTTTTAAATCTACTTTATTAAAATGGATTTACAGGATGATCCGATGATATCAGCAGCTGGAACTGGGCCATCACCATCAACTAATTTGAATAATCAATTGTCACCCGACATACTATGGGATCACACCAATTTTTCGCCGGATAATCAGCACAGTCAAACAGCTACAGCCAATACCTATCATCAGCAAGCCAATATGGATTTCACTTGAATACGCTATCCTTGTTTGAATATTTTTTGACAATTCTAAAATTTCAAATATTCCTATGATTGAGTACTTGGTCCTGTTATTTTCAAAGAACTTCATTTTATTTCGTGAATACAATGTTCATTTTACACATACTACCCCATTTCCTCTTGTTTATATATATATATATATGTAGATGCGTTTATCTGCATATGTTAGAAGACCAGAAATGTTTTTTCTAGCTGTTAATTTTTTCTTTTTTTTTGATTTTGTACAGGGTACATATACGGGATTTTGCTCTGCGGGACTGACGAACTGGTTGTGAAAGGAAATTGAAAAAGAATTCATTTTTTTTTCCTCTTTTAACTGCTCTTGTTAATAGTTTTAATATAACATTTCCGCATTTTGCAAAAATAATAATCCCGCACTGTAAAAATGTTAGACCCGGAATTGACAATTTTCAGGAATTTCATTCATGTTGTGTGTTGTCGGGTTTTCCTTTTTTTTTTTTACTTTATCAGGTATTTTGCCAATTGTAATTCAGTTTTTGTTACTTTTTGCAAAAAATTTCTTTCCGTCATACTTTTGACCCCATTAATTTGTGCTGTTATGGGTTTAAAAATTTGTAAGTTTACAAGCGATATAACTATCGCGGTGTTAAATCAACAGATTGCATTAATCAAACCACTTATTGAATTTTTAACTTCTGAAAAAATCCTTTTACTTGGTAATTTCGGATTTCAAAATCCCAGTTTTCATTATTTTTATAGTTAACATCAAGTAAGTAACATTCAGGATTGATCCATAACAAAATTAAATTTAACTTTCTACCTTTCATTGGCATAGACCATAATATATGAGGAACATTTTTGTCACCATTTAGTATCATTTATATTCATCATTTGCAGGCTATCCAAAGTTTCTAATTTCATTTTGGTGGCAGGTTTTCTAGATTGTCTATGCTGATTCGTACAAAAACAATGCCTTTTTTTTATTGTGAATTACTTTTATTTTTTATTTCTTGCAAATTGAATTTCTCATTTGTCCACTTTTCCCGTTTTTTTTCCTTTTATTTATTTATTTTTATTTTTTTTAGTCTGTAAATATATGTGAATGGATTTTTGTTTTCCCTCTTTCTCGATTTAATATCAAAAATGCGGGATATGAGACTTTTTCTTTTTCTTTTTT